GCCCTCTGGCAGCCCCAATTCGCCAACAATTGGCATCAGAGCCCGGGGTTGAGAGAAAGGGAGAGGCATGGCCACCTCCGCAGAGAGAGCAGCAGCCGCCGCCGCCGCCGAAAGCAGCGCGTCGCGCGCCCGTAGCAGCAAGAGGCCGCAGCCGCAGCAGCAGCAGCAGCGGAACGCGGCGCGCTGCTCTGCCGAGAATTGGTGGAGGAGGATCCGCCGCGATCGCCGCCGCCGCCTCGCGCGGAGGAGCCCGGAGCGCCTTGCGCAGTGCGACGCGCCGATCGCCGATCGGGATCAGGATCGCCGCCGCGGACGGGCCAAGGGCCGCTCGCCGGTGATCCAGGCCGTGTACAAGGATTCTAGCTCGAGCTCCACCTGGCCGATGCTCACCAAGTCAAATTACCATGAGTGGGCCTCGATCATGAAGCTAAAGCTCCAGTGCGCGCAACTCGGGGACGCGATCAAGTACCGGGACTGCGCCGTACCATGAGATGACGAGCGCCGCGGTGGAGGCGATCATCGCCGCCGCGTGCCGCAGAGATGCAGATGCCGCTGTCCGAGAAGGGATCGGCCAAGGAGGCCTGGGACTCCATCGCCGCCGCGCGGATCGGCGTCGATCGGGTGCGCCGCGCCACGCTCCAGCGACTCCGCAGCGACTAGGAGAAGCTCGCCTTCCGTCCGGGTGAGAAGATCGAGGACTTCACCTTTGCTGATGGCCTGGCGGCGGCGAGCTTCTTCTCCACGCGGCGACAACGACATCGATGAAGAGCGCGCGATGGAGGCTCCTGCCGTCGCCGCCGGCGGCGCCCGGCTCCGGATCGCCATCGAGACGCTTCTTCGACTTCCGGACCTCACCATCGAGGAGGTGTCTGGGCGTTTGAAAGACGGTGGACGACATGGAGGCGCCGCATGGAACCGCCGCCATCGGCGATCTACTGGCGACAAGGAAGCGATGGTGTGCCAGGAGAAGGAGAAGGCTGCCGCTTCCGCGTCAGGCAAGGAACCGCGACGTCGTCCACGCGGCGGCAAGAAGCAACGCAGGAAGGGCAATCGCGGCGGAGGAGACAGAGGCGGTGGCGACGATCGCGGGCGAGGCGACGACACCGCCTCAATCAGTGGTGATCGCGCCCATCGGGCGCCTTGATCGCCGCCAAACCGCGCGCCATGGTGGTGGTGACCATGGCGGCGGCGGCGGGCAACCAACGCGGAGGCCGCGTTGGAGTTGATCGAGGTGGACGGGCGCGGTGGTGGGCGTGGCGGTGCTGCACACGTCGCAGAGGCGGAGGACGATGATGGTGCTCTGTTCCTCGCCCACGGCTTCCTCGAGCTCGACGAGAACTCTGCTCCAAGGCCACGGCCTCCCTCGACATCAACGAAGCGAGAGAAGGAGACCGTGTGAGCTCAAATCTGCCGCGACCGACAATGGAGGAGAGTTCACCGTCAGCGAAGTAGCCGGCAGTGCTTGGCCGCCGCCGAAGGAGTCAAGCGGCACTACTGCGCACCACACTCACCGCAGCAGAAGCGGTGTGGTGGAGCGGCGCAAATCGGGCGGTCGTGGGTAACCGCACGCCGCGCTCTCTGAGCGAGGGTCCATGCCGCCAAATTCTAGAGGGAGGCGAAGATGATGGCGGTGCATCTGCTCAGCCAACTGCTACCGACAAGAAGCTTGCAAGGCAAGACCCCTATGAGGCTGGCAGGACGAAGCGCCGCCGGTGAGCCATCTCTGCGTACATTCGGTGCGTCGCCTACACAAGGGAGCTCGGGCAATTAAGCTCGGCACGCCCGCAGCAAACTAAGGTCCTCATCGGCTACGCCGAGGGCGCCAAGGCCTCACCGGGTCCTCGATCCGGCGACAGACGCAGCGTCAAGGTGAGCCGCGATGTGGTGTTTGATGAAGGCGCGGTAGGATTGGTCCAATTGGCCGCCGGGACATCTCGCTTCCGCCTCAAATGACTTCGACATCGAGTTCGGGGAGTCGACGCTTGACGGAGCTCCGCCGCAAGACGCCGTCGTCACCAGCTCGAGAGCACGATCCACCGCCTCCTCTCGCTTCCACCAAAGCAGCCGAGACCGAGCAAAGCGGACCAGATTGAGTTCGCGTCACCGCTCGAGGCGACGATGATCGCCTTAGCGCCTTCTACGGCGGCGGCATTGCGTACTGCCGTACCATGCCCAACATCGTCGGGGCAGCGCCCACACCGCCGCCGCTTCACGTCTCTTCGCCGAAGCTTCACCTCACGCCGCCGCCGTGCCGCCAACTTCAGCGGAGGTCGGCGGCGATCTGCTGGCGAGCCGCCATGGAGCGAGAGATCAAGGCGGTTGAGCGAAACCGTGCGTGGGAGCTTGTGGAGCTTCCTCCGGTCCACCGCCCATCACTCTGAAGTGGGTCTACAAGCTCAAGAAGGACGAAGGGCGCGGTGACCAAGTACAAGGCACGCTTGGTGGCGCGAGTTTAAATCCGGCGGAAGAAGGATCGACTTGACGACGTGTTTGCTCCGTGGCGCGCATGGAATCCGTCCAAGTCCTCGCTACCGGCGCCCAAGAAGGATGGCGCGCGCCCACCACATGGACGTCAAATCGGCCTTCCTCAACGGCGACCTCAAGGAGGTGGTGTACGTGAAGCGACCGCTTTGGCTTCACCGTCCGTCAGGGAAGGAGAAGATGGTGTCTGCGTCTACGCAAGGCTTTGTATGGCCTATGACAGCTCCATGAGCTTGGAGCATGGTGGGCGCCACCCTCAAGGAGATGGGTTTCACCAGCGACCATGAAGCTGCGATGTATAGGCGAGAAGAGGGGGGAGGCTGCTGGCGATCGGCGTCTATGTTGACGACTTGATCATCACCGTGCGGTAGCTCAAGCCATAGAAGGTTTCAAGGCTCGGATGAAGAAGGTTTTCGACATGAGCGACCTCGGCCTCCCCGTCCTTCTACACAGGGGGTCAAGTACACCAAGATTCAAATTGGATCACTCTGAGGCAAACCCATTATGCCAAGAGGATCCTTGAGCTAGGAGGTATGGATGCCTGCAACCCCCTTATACACCAATGGAGGAGCGGTGAGGTTGAGCAGTGCAGAGCACTACTGCAGGTTGATCCTACCTTGTCTGAGAAGATTGGTGGGCAGCTGCGCTACTTGGTCCACACAAGACCTCGACTTAGCCTTCTCGGTGGGCTTTGTCGGTCAATTCATGGAGAGGCCGATTGCAGAGCACCAAGCGCCATCAAGCGCATCTGAGATATGTGGTCGGGTACTGGAGTTTGGCCTGCACTACACTAAGGCTCCGGGAGAGCAAGGTTTGTTGGGATCTACGACAGGCGGTGACTTGGTGGGGACATTGACACCAAAGAAGAGCACTAGTGGCACTCTCTTCTTCTGGGAAGCAATCTTGTGTCTTTGGCGGTCGGTGAAGGAGAAGGTGGTGGCTCTATCTAGTTGTGAAGTGAGTACATTGCCACTACCACAACTGCAACACAAGCTATTTGGCTATCCAAAGCTCTTGGCAAACCTCCTTGGAAGGAATGTGGAAGTGGTCGAGTTTGAAAGTTGATAGCAAGTCCGCACTTGCTCTAGCCAAGAATCCAGTCTTTCATGAGCGCAGTAAGCACATCAAAATCAAGTATCACTTCATCAGAAACTGCTTGGAAGATGGAAGTATCAGGGTTGATCACATATCCACCACTGATCAGCTGGCTGACATTCTAACCAAGTCTCTTGGAAGATCAAAATTTGAAGAGATGAGGGGAAGAATTGGGCTCAATCACATCACTTCCAAGGACCACAAGGCTAAAGGGAGAATTGTCGATGAGTTAGCCTAGTGTCCATGTTTTCCAGCCACCTACTATATAGCTTATTTCACTATTCACTGTCATGTAATTTTTCAGGTTCCTTGGCAACCAAGTTGATCATGGTGCCTTGGCAACCAAGTAGGAATCATAGCATCTGCTTTATGCAGTTAGAATATGTTAAGGAGTAGGTACACCACTTGCTTATATATGCAGTGGTTAGCATCTTTTGTATCCAAGTTGTTATTGCAATTCAATACAATCCAAGCGGCTCACTAGCCAAGCTGCCCTCTGGCAGCCCCAATTCGCCAACAAAAAAATATTTGCATCTAAAAAGAGAAAATTCACAAACCTGACTAGAACGGAAAGTAAGTTTCTTGTCAATATGTTCACACATCACATTTGGCTCAAACTTAATTTCCTGCAGAATAAGAATGTCAAAAGCAACAGAATATTCAACTTTGGAAGATCATCAGGACAGCATTATTAAGTGCACAACATTGTACTAAATTAAAATTAACCATTGCATGCCAAGATACACTCGAACAATCAAGGACTTGAACAGATTGTATGAGCACAAGAAGAAGCACATAGGCCGAACATGCATACTGTAAGTTAGAATGTGAACTCTAGAGAAATAAATACAGAATTGTGAAGCACCTCATATAGCTCAATTTCTTCATTTGGAGAAAATCCTGCCATTTCATTCAGTTTTGTCAATATTTCAGATGGCTTTCCCAGAGCCTTCACAAAAAGCCTACCGACAAAACTGTAATAGCAGCGCGATGTCACCATGTGAGTCATCTGTAATAAAAGTTCAACAGAATGATTGACAAATATATTAACAAGAAACATACCGAAGCTCTTCCTTCTCAGCATTATAAAGCTTGAAGAAAAGAAGTATGTCTTCTTTGCTCTTCTCAGATGGACGAATTGGACATAACTCCTCGTAAAGTAATAATTAGAAACAACCAAGCATCTCAAAATCTAGAAGGCATAAAAAAGAGGGAAAATAGGAGAATAAATAAACAATATTTACTGGTCCAAGTTCAACTTCCAGAAACAACTTCAGCTCAGCATTGTGTGCCTTATTTGAGACTTCCCTAAGCTGCCCAACCTGTGCAATAAAAGAAAATAAATTGAAATGACAAATGGATTGACACAAATTAAAGAAGTAAAAGGCTAGGATATGATGCATATTATTTTTCACTATTTTTGAAATATTGCCACATAAATACATCCTTATTGTCTACTGCAATAATACTAGTATTCTACATTCAAGAAATTCAACCAAACTGATAGATCAAGAGTTCAAATAAACTAATGCTACATGTTACATGTAAGCAAATCTCAAACGCTAAGAAATGCACACAAATTCACTTGTCCTCAAATTGCAAGTGACATGTGAGGTAGAACTTGCAAGTGATATTGGACAATAAAAGACACCTTTTCCACGTAAAAAGAATGCCAAAAGGGAGCACAAAGTTAAAAAGAAAGGATAAATAAAGCAAATGAAAATAAAACTTAACACTAGTTGAACTTCAAACGTGATGAACCAAGTGTATTCCACATATTTAAGTACTTGATTGAAGTATTATAAGTGTGAACTTCTAAAAACAACAAATGACTTACTGATTGTGCTTCCTCATGGGGGGTCAATGGACGATTCGGCCGGTATGTATGGTTCTGCCTCTTAGCCCACAACCAGAAGCGCTGAAACTGTACAGGGATGCCAAATTCCTTTGCAACTTCCTCCTGAACAATTCATTTGAAAATCAAATGAGACTACCAAAATCAAATGGTGTGTAATGAAAACAAACTGCTATAGCTTTGATGCAGAGTATAGAGCACAACTAGAAAATTAAAGAAATCTGGAATGCGGTAAATGGAATGTTCCAAAATGGTAATGAAAACAATTAATCAGCCAGACCATAAAGCAAGTTTGCTGACTATTTCTGGTAGGTGCCCGTTTTAATTTTTAAAGATAGAATTGCAACAGAAAATAACACTGCCTGGAGGGGCTTGAACTTGAGTTCAAAACCACCATAAATGTAGCAGCTTAATCCCTTGCAAATAGGCCAGTAGTATCCAAATATCATAACCATGAAGCCATGGTATGAAAAAACATGTAGGGTTTTTTAGGCCATTACCTTGAATGAAGTAAAAGGCAACTGCTTCTGAATGCGGAAGCTGCGAACTTTTTCATGGTCCACCAGGTCAAAATATATATTCTTACCAATTTGCTCCTTCAAATCCTCATCTCGAGCAATCTATTTTCATTTTTTACAAACAAAGTTCTATCAAGAGGAGTCACCAAGAGAGAAGTTAGCTGCTGGTATGACTGAAACAAGAGCAGACCTTTATGACAGTGTAGAGATGAGCTTCAGCCTTCTCCTTCTTCTTGTGCTCTTTCTCTTCTTGTTCTTTTTCAACCTTATCTGTAAAAAAGAACAGTTCAATCAATCACTATCTTCAACGAAAATACTAAGATGATACAAACAAAAGGGGTAAAAGTATACAAGAACTACTTACCCGCAAATGCTCAGCGATATCCTTCTCATCGACATTACACATTATTTTCTCCTTGTCACTCTCACGTATATAGACAAGCATATAGGCGTTCGAATACTTTGTGAATTTGAATGGTGTGTTATTGAAACCAGGGTTTATTTGAGGCAACTGTTCCATACAAAGAAGAAAGTTAATCCAAGTCCACAAGTAATGCATTGTACTGAATGAACATTTGTCATATAGAATGTTACCTCTTCCTCACCGCCATACTGCTCTTCAAGTGCCTTTTAATGTCTTCTTTTTGTAACCCGCTCATCATCGAATTTGTACCTGAAAACCAACCAGAAAAATTCATAGATATGGCATTTGTAAAACATTTGCAAAGATATGGTAACTGGATGGCAATGTGCTGTGCATAAGCAAAGAAAGTGATTCCATGTGCCATCTGGTTAAATAAGAGATTACTGTGAAAGAAGGCTCTTTATCACTGTGAACTGTCAGTGCAGCTGATAGAAGATGATAAAGCTAACCAACAGATTCAGAGGATTGCATTGCATGTTGACACAAGACACAAGATGGTGATAAAGCCAGCAATGAGTATGCTGAAGTTGTGAGCAGGGCTGAGTGTAAATATACACAATACCCAGTTCAATATCATGCAGCTATATATATATATATATATATATATATATATATATATATATATATATATATTGTATATATATAGAGACATTAAGTCTAATTGAGAGGTTATCTTCCCACAAATTATTCCAAGGTAACAGCAGCATGGAGCATTTTAAGAATCACAAATGTCTTATGCTTAAAATGCTGGGCCACAATCAAAATAATGGTGCACACTAGAAAATTATTAAGGCAAACTACCAGAAGACACATCTACCAACATGAACTGAAACTCATGAGATGGAAACGCACCACTGATCCGAGAGCGTTGGCCGAATAAAAGCATAGTAGTGACCACCATGTACTCCCCCACTATGAACAAGAACACTGAATGAAAAAGGACAGGCAACATCAGCATAGAAAAAATGGATCATTTTTGTACGCATGCTGTCAAGATTACATGAATAATGTGAAATAAACTGTCAGAACAAAGAAGACAGCAAATTTTTTTCAAATTTGCACATTTTCTAACACAGCTTCACTATGTAGGGCAAAAGGACAATGTTGCATACATTCAATTTATTGGCCAATTTCTACACTCAGGTTCTTCTGTATTACATTAACCAGAGATCAGCGTCTAGAAAAAAGTAACTGAAACTGGGGCATCCTTTAAAGGAGAAGTGCTACACTGGTTGGAATTTCACATTTCTATATACATGGATTAGATTTTTCCATTATAGCTGTTGCATCTATATACCATTCAAAGAATTGGAACAGTTTATGACAAATAAATTACCTGTGAAGCGTATAGAGGTTTCTAATACTTCGATTTGCATCTGGAGAAAGATATTTTCCATTGTCTCTATCAAGATCAAGTTGAAGAGGGAACTCATAGCGGTCATTAATCTGCAGAAGTAGGTAGTTCATCATGAATCCTAGATAATCTTATCAACAATTTCTTAAACAAAAGACATCTAATGTTAATTGTTGAGGAAGCCACACATAGACAACAGAAAACTGAATTAGGCAAACAAGAACATGAAACAGATAATCCTAACAAAAGAAAGAACCAGAGCTACAAAAATTGATCATGATTTTTGTCTGAATGAGGCATGTTTTATTCAGGGTAACATGTGCATATCCAAATGACGAATTTTTTATATAAAATACAAGGTGCTGGAGGTGTCAATTATCACAACTTAAAAACTACTTGCATCCTAAAGAAGCATCAAGTCACAGTCTCTATTCAAGCAGTATGGTACTGGGCTATGTGCATCAACTGAAATAACCGTCATAATGATCTATTTACTGATAACTTCGTAATTGTAAAGAAAAAACACAAAGTGTAAACAGATGTTTGCCGCTTACCACATTTTTAACATGTTCCCCAACACTCATATGAGTGACTGCACCCAAACAGAAAAAACTGGCAGTGACTAACTGGAACTAATTAGTTCTATTTTAATCCACTTCACAGCAAAGAATTAATATTGTTGGCACCAAAAAAGATTCAATAACCCCCAAAAATAGCAAAATATGTGTTATTGTGTACCAATGCGTACAAAGACTAATTGCATTGTTCCACAGTTCAAGGAGTTAGTAGCAACTGTGATTGTTGAGCGCTTAACAACAAGGAGTCAAAGATACAATCACATCAACTCTATGCAAATTCTTGCAGACCTTTTAGAGAAAGAATTGCTACATGTAACTTGAAAGAAATTACGCAAATATTGCTAGAAATATTGCTAATATCAATCTAAAGCTTTACGATTTGGTCAGTGTCAAACCCTTGGCATGCCATGACAACCAGCATTTCAATTAAAAAAAAAACTATCTGCTTGAAACAATGATAAAGATGTATAGAAGTGGTTTATCATTTTGACGGTGGTAGTCAGCACGGTTCTAACCTTAACCATTGTATCTCGCATGTAATCATATTCAAAACGCTTCAGTTGAAGCTGCAAAACAGGAGGGAAATCGAGGAAGAGCACACCTTTCCTTGCATCCTGAAAACAAAATAAGATTGAAATTAAGGTACAACTATAATAACAAAAAAGGTCAGAAAAGATAATCATAACCGAACTGATAATAATCCACACAGTTTTTTTGTCCAGATGTAGCAGAGTGCTCTGAGTGTGTGTTCTGGTTCGTGTTGCACATCTTTTGTTGGCATTCAATATCATGTGTCTGGTGCTTGCTAGAGTGAATGGGAGAACTGGGGGTATCTTTCTTTGGCGAGGAGAGTTTGGAATTGCAGTAGGCACTGTGGCGCTAGATGGCTGTGTTTTTTGTTCAGAACTGGTAACCCCAGTAAAACAGATGGTGCTGGCTAAGCTTTCTATAAAGGCCAGGCTGACGTTTAGCCTTGTTCAAAAGAACATAAGATAATTATGACAGAATTCTGTCATTTCATTGAAATACCAGGAACTTTCCTAAAACTCTGAAAATCAGGTAATCAGCATCTACTACACCTAAATATCCAGCTACAAGGCCACTCATAGAGCAGAATTTGTGGGAACCTGTAAGCCATATCGCTCCGCATGGTATTTGTTATCACCCTCTAGACGCTCGACTTCCACATACTTATCAAATGATGCATAAACATCACGACAACCTTTCACATCAAGTTGTAGATCTGCAAGCCATGACATAGGCAACTATTATTTATATATCATAGATAAATATATGATTTTCATGCAAGTACAATTAAATGACAGAGCCTACCGTAAAATGATTCTTTTCTGCTAGATTTATAGTCCACGTTAATGCACTCGATGTAATTAATGTGGTGGCCTTCAAATAATTGTTCAATTGTTCCTTCCACAACAGTTCCCTGTGGAGAAAGAAAAGTTAATAAAAAGTAAATTGATGTATTGATAATTCAATATTGTCATATTCACCTTCATCTTATCTTCCAGTTTCTCACAAAGAACTCTGTTGAGTTCTTGCACATCATGTTGCATGAAAGAATCATAAGTATCCCATCCAAAGGATTTGGTCAACTCTTTAAATCGCTACACTGTTGTCACTATACTGGAGCTTGTAAAAAAGGCTCTGCAGGGCTAAAGGGATACTCCCAGATGGCATGTCATTCTCAGTTGTTGGCATATGATATACAGCCTATAAAAACATTTCAATAAATTGGTTCAAAATTCAGGCATTTAGAGAAACGCGTAGAACAGAACAATGATTGATCTCACCTTTCTAAAATATGGTGTATGGTATAACGTTTGAAGGAGAGAGTTCATATAACAGGTAGCACCTTGATTCTTAAGACCTACAAAACCTGTTTCTTTTTTCGAGTCATAAGTCCAATAATCCACCATTCTGCGGACAGCAACCTCAGCTTCTACAACAACGGTGTCATTCACAAGATAGCCCCTGCTTGGGTCATATAGGTCACCCAAAGGCATAAATGATGTGAAACCCCAGTCGCTCTCGCGTGCATTAAATTGGTGCTGGGTATCTGCCAAACATGGGACCAACATATAGATTCAACCAAAAGAAATATTCCAGAAATAGTGAGAAACTCAATGTAACTAAAGGAAAAAAATGTAAAGGTGTTATATTAACATATAAAAATGCCAGATTGAAGGAATTAATGAAAAAAAAGGTTGGCAATCAAACCCTTGTCAGATAATAATTCTAGTATTTATACATCACTTGATAGACTATTAGCAACTGAACCGAAGGTTAGCTTCAAGCAACTGTGAGTTGGTAACTGAGCAGAAAAGTTCAAAGTAAGAAACAAACTGTTAGGAGTTTTTGGGAAATCTAAATAAGCACAACTGCAATCAACACAGTTTTGAGAAATGACTGTTTATGAGGCAGCAATGTGGGTCCGGTACTCCTGTCCAGACATGTTTGCAAGTTTCAAATGGCATGCATTGGACTCTATCATCCATATCCGACATATATCATTATTGAACATATTATACCATGCACAATAACAGTGATCAACTCCGTATGTGATTGATGATCTACATACATCCTAACAAAAGGCACATTCAACAATATTAAAGCAGCTATTTGCAAAGAAATAGAAGTCAAAAGAATCTTTCACAATCGACATAATAATTATATTTTCAAGACAACAAATGTGGTAAAGCTGACAAGCACACATGAGAGTTGAGCCGCTAGCTTGAGTTGTCACTTTGCCAAAAATGAAGAGAAAAAAGAGACACGCAGCTGGGAAACATCCTACAGAAATCAAGTATGAAAACCAAAAAAAAAAACTTACCTAGAAGTGAATTAACACCCTTAAAATTAAAGCAACTTAAAAATAAAGATTCTATTAAACTTAAGAACTTTATGTGTCATGCATGTGCTACATATGCTTCCTACATATATCTTGATTCAGAATAACAGAGGGACAGAGCTTCACCCTTGTCTATGATTTTGCATATTAGTTGTAATTAGTTATAGGCAAATCGAATGTGCGCCTCATTTCCAGTTAACCTCATGCTAACATGATAAAAGTTTGACAATTGTCAATGATCAAATATAATTGCCAATGACCTCATCATGTTCCAGCTCAGTTGAAGACTTGTAAGTTATAGCCCCAACTTCCATGATGGAATGGCATTCACAAGACAAGCAGAAGAACATTAAATGAAGAAAGAGATACCTTTCCGAATCGTATACTTGGGGTGGATCTGATTCACAACAGCCAAGCTGAACTGAGCATACCGGCTCCACCCGTATGGGAGGTTCCCAGAATCCGCAACATCCAAATACATCGATAAGTGATCCACATTGTTCCCCTTGGGGAAAATTAGCACACGCCTGCAAGCAAAAAGTAGCACATCCATTAAAACCCACCAAGCGTTTACCCATGTTTCCGGCAGCGGTTACAGTGGCAGGAGATCCAAACGCTCACCATTTGTATCCTCCAACGACAAACACATCAGAGTAGTGCTTCTTAGTGTTAAGACGGCTGAAGCTCTCGATCGTCCAGGTGAAGCGCGACGTCTGCGGGTCCTCAGGCGGCTGGCTCTCCGCTGTGTTGGCGGGCTCTGTCTGCGCAACAACTAGCAGCAGGAACCATGACAGCAGCCACCACGTGTGAGATGAGATCAACGAGAACTAGAAACACGTAAACCCACGAGCACAAGCACAGAAGGCGCAGGAAGGCTTAGGTCCTCACCTTCCATCGGCTGTGGGGCAGCTTCCGGGCCAGCAACAGGGAGCTCCTGGTGCGGCACCAGCATCTCGTCGTCCTCCTGCTGCTGCTGCGAGGAGGGAAGAGCGCGGGCTGAGGGGTCAGATCCGGCCCGGCGCGTAAACCCTGGCGCGAACCCAAGCACCCTCGATCGGCGCGGCGGCGAGGGTGGACTGGCCGCGGAGATCGGGGCGAGCGAGCGAGCGAGTGAAGGAGAGCACGTACCTCGAGAGGGGGCGGCGTCATCATAGTCATGGGGTCGTCGTCGCCCGCGACTGCGGTGCGTGTGCGAGAGGCGGCCGCCAAGCGGCGGCGGCGGCGGCGGCGACGGCGTAAGGCGGCGGGAAGAGGAGGAAGAAGAGTCGGGGGGCGAGGGCGAGGGCGAGGGCGGATTCGAGGCGAGGCAGGCGAGGGGAAGCTGCTGATGCGGTGAAGGGAGCACAGGTCGGTCGCGTGCTGTCGGGGGCGATTTCGTGATTTCCTGGGTCGAGTCGAGCCGGGCACGGCACAGTTCAGACAGGAGCCGAGCTCAAGAGTTTTTGGGACTCCCGACTACCGAGCTTTATCTCTTCTTCTCGACAGAGTCCACAAAACAATAGCCTTCATTTCTAGTAGCATAAAAACTCCCGACTACCGAGCTTTATCTCTTCTTCTCGACACAGTCCACAAAACAATAGCCTTCATTTCTAGTAGCATGTATAGAGACGATTTTCTTCACAATTTAGACCTTGCTTAAATTCATGGTGTAAAGTTTTGGATGTCATATTGGGTATCATATAGGGTATCGCATTGAGTTTTCGGATACTAATAAAAAACAAGTTACAGAATCCGTCAGTAATCCGCGAGAATAATTTATTAATCCTAATTAATCCGCCATTAGCAGTATTTACTGTAGCACCACATCGTCAAATCAGGAGGTAATTAGGGGGTTTACTCCCTATCCATCGAATGTTTGACACATACATGGAGTATTAAATATAGACTAAAAATAACTAATTACACAGTTTACGACTAATTTGCGAGATGAATCTTTTAAGCCTAATTAATTCATGATTTGACAATGTGGTGCTACAATAAACATGTACTAATGACGGATTAATTAGGCTTAATAAATTCTTCTCGCAGAGTACTGAGGACTTCTGTAATTTGTTTTATTATTACTATCTGAACACTCTCATGTGATATCCCGATGTGACACCCGATATGACGCCTCTAAATTTTAGCCTCTAGATTTAAACACCATCTAAGAAAGTTTTTCTTTCTTCCACCAAAATCCACAAAACAATGGGCTTCCTTTCTAGTAGTTGTAGTATACTTAATCGTTTTCCAAGAATTTTTTTTTCACAATTTAAGTTACCTTAGTGTCTCTAAGGCAGTTTTTTACTGGCGATATTTTTTTCAAATATTTAATTAAGGTAATTTGATACAAAGTCTATTAGATATCATGCTACGTGTTATCACTCTCACGACACATTGTTATTTATGCCCATGGAATGTGTGACTCATACGAGTAATGCATGCATGCAACATCTCATTACTTTACCTCTATGCGAACCACTTTTTATCGGTTACTTATGCATAATTCTTGTGCTTTCTAGAGTGTCGTATGCAATAAATGTATTCCGTTTTACCATCAGCTCTTGTGGTTAGGGGGGCAATATGACAAGTTTGATGGTAGCATTGTGTGAATCATATTCGTTAGCTACATATGAATGTTCCCCGTATGCAACAAAGGTGGTTCTACTTTTCTTGGTGTTCGTATGTCTTCCGTTTTCACAACTCATTCAGTCATTAGACACATAATGTAATGCTAATTTGTTCAATCTATTCGTTACCTAGAAGTGGTGTCATAAAGTTGATTAAATTGAATTATTTGTTGGTGTTTAAGGAAACAATTAGATTGTTGATGCATGAATCCAATGGAAATGGAATTATCTACAAGTGTTCTTAGTTCAAAGGCAAAGACATAGGCAAAAAGTCAAAATATATTCAGTATTTTACTATTTTTTTGTATATAAGGTCTTTTATCCTGACAATATTGTAAGGAAAAAGTTCATTTTTGGCCCTTCAACTATGGCAATAGTTTGGTTTTAGCCTTCCAACTTGAAAACCAGACACCCGCAGTCTCTTAACTCTCAAAACCGTTTAAAATTGGCCCCCGCGCCCATTCGACCATGTGTCCGCACGATAAACCCGCCACAACCCCGCCTTATCGTGCCTTTCCCTCTCATCGTCGAGTTGGGACCACTGTCATCCCTCCCTCTCTTCGCAGAGCCCCGCGTGTCGAACTTTCCCCCAACCTCCCCGCCACACGTCGTTGCCACCACGACAGCCAAAGACAGGCGCTAGCCATGGTCTGCTGCTCCTATTGCTTTCAGCGCCATGGCTCATTGCTCACCGCCATGCGGGGCCCACGTCCTGCTGCCGCTCCTGCGCCCGCCACGGTGCTTTCATTCTGCTTCTGCCATGTGTGACACACCCTTCGCCACTCGCTTTCTTACTTGCGTGGTGCCATGCTCGCCCTTCGCCGAAGAGAGGCAGGAGAGGGGAGGAAGAAGAGGGAGCAGAGGAGGCTCGCCTCCGCCCACGCTTCGCCCACGGCCCCAGCGCCCCTCTGCAGCCACTCACCACGCCCGCCACCTTTGCCACTTTTCGCTACTTGCCAAGCCAGGCCTTACACCCCTTCGCCACTCACTTTCGCTGCTTGTGTCATGCGGTGCTTTCGCTCTCGCTCGCTCTCCTTGCCGCAGAGAGAGGAGAGGAGAGGAGGAGGAAGAAGAGGAAGCGAGGGAGGTCTCACTCACCCTCGCGTGCCCCGCGTCTCCGCTTCGTCGCTTCGGCTGCGCCGCCGTGGTGCCACCTTTCATTGCTTTCGCCCATGCTGGCGGCGCCGACACCTCGCTTCATTGGATGGCCCCGACCATCGAGCTCCATTAGGCCTTCTTTGGCGACCCTCCGAGCTCTCAAGGTGCTGCTTTGGGCCCATCGCCACAGTGCCCCCTACGCCACTCCCCAAGCAGCCGCTCAAGACGCAGCCGCCGCCAGATCAGACTGAGGAGTTGCAGAGGCGGCAACCACCGCGCGTAGTCCACGGCAACGGAGGCGGTGTTCCTCGGCGCGTGGGCTTCTTAGTGGCGTGGTGCCGGGCACTCGGCGACACCGATCAAGGATGGCCCCGGCCTCTGGCGAAGTCAAGGCTAGGCGGGCGGCACCTTCCTGTCCGTGTGTAGTAGCAAGGGAACAGAGGGAGTAGGGGCGGGCAGCGAGACGGAGGGAAAAGCAGTAGCATGCACGGCGGCGGTGCTTGGCTGCTGCGTCGGCACCTCAATGGCGCTCTGGTGGCGCTTCAGCCAGATCTAGTCAGCTGCGACGTGGGTTGGGCGAGGCGGCTTGACTGCAGCGCTGGCTCCGCGTCTCAGCGGCGCTTGCCTTCATGGGTCCGTGCGTGCGTGTCTGTCGAGCTTGAGCTCGAGCTCGAGCTTGGAGTTTGCAGGCGAGGTCGGTCTGCGCAATGAGGGAGGCAAGAGGGGCTGTACCTGGAGCAAGCAACCAAAGAAGAAGCAAAGCTCTTTCTCAAGCTTCCTATGTCCGTCGACGGAGGTGTCGAGAGCCACGGTGGCCTCGTCGGCCTTTTATAGCTGCAAGTAAGGCGGTGGTAGTGTAGATATTTTGGGCAGCCGGAGATTTTGCCGACATGAACTGTAGCGTCCACGAGGAGCACTGGAGAGCTCGCGTGCCTGTGCTAGCCGCTGTGGTGGCAACGACGTGTGGCGGGGAGGTTGGGGAAAGGCCTGACAGGAGGGGCCTGCGAAGAGAGGGAGAGGGATGACAGGTGGTCCCAACCTAGCGATGAGAAGGAAAGGCCTGATAGGCGGGGTCGTGGCGGGTTTACTGTGCGGATACCGCGGTCGAATGGGCGCGAGGGCCAATTTTAAACGGTTTTGAGAGTTAAGGGACTGCGGGTGTCTGGTTTTCAAGTTGGAGGGCTAAAACCAAACTGCTGCCATAGTTGGAGGGTCAAAAACGGACTTTTTCCATATTGTAATAATCAACTTCTTTTTATGAACTAAGTATAGGTGGTAATTCCGGAGGCATAGAGGTTGTCCAAATATTAGAATAAGGATTATTCCTTTGTCTAGATATATATAGGATGTCGAAAGCTTACGTTAAGCAAGGGCCCAGAACTAAGCAATAATTCTCTTTATGTCCACTTTCCTTTGCATCATTTTACATGTGGAATGAGAATGTGAGCACTTTCATTTGTCATGAATAGTTGCTAAAAATTTCATTTTGAAACCTACTATTGGAGGGTAGCCATCGCCACATTATTCATTTTAAAGAACATGTTGATTGGTGATTATTAACTACCATTTTTGGGTCCTAAAAGTATTAGCTAATTATTTGATGCAATTAAGTATAGCTATAACTAGGTAAACCAAAAGTATGAGATGGAAAAGATGGCTAAGAGTAGCACATTTTTTAATACAAATTTTATGTCTTACTGAACAACTTTCTCCCATAAATTCCTCTTTAGAACTTATGTAGTTCCCATATCATCTTGTCATCCTATGATAAAGCCACCTTAATGAGTAAGGCAAGGTAGGGCATACTATGTCAAAAATGCAACAAAAGTCTAAAAGCGTAAAGGGTCTAAAAATGCAACAAGGTAGGCGCAACAAACCAATCATAGACATAACATTGTACAACTTTCTATCTAGGTAAACCAACCAATAGCAAATTGCATTGCCTTGTCCAGGTTAAGGATATACTGCATAACCTATAATGTAATGCAATACTAATGCGAGTAACCAATCAAGCCTATAGTGATGAAGCTAACAAGTACCGTGTAGTTCGAGTTTATCGATTAAGGTGTATTCCGGTACCAATACATGAACATTAAAAGAGTTTAGATGAAAAAGTTTCTTGTTGTTATCACATAGGTAGCCAACTTTTTCTGAGTTACTAGTAGATTGTTGAAGTCTAGGGTCGATGAAAACCCGATCATCTGTCCATGTTTGAAGGCCAGCAAAAACTCCTTAAGAAAAATTTAGGGTGGCGGCTCTCCCCTGTTCGACCTTTTCTATTAGTATATATATACTTCCTAGTCACATTTTATAAACCCCCGAGAGCTCAGGGTGGGCATTAGGTTTTAACTGAAAATTCAGTTTAGTTTCTTCGGTTTTTAGAAACTTCGGTTTTTAGGAATGAGCAACCGATCGGTTAGCTATAAAATGGGGATCCAACAATTTTGGTTTCGATTTTTTTGCTTTGGTTTGGTTTAAACCAAAAAAAACGAAACTGCTCAAGGCACTTGGGGATGGCACGCCCTCGCTGTCATTGTGGCATGCTCGCATCGCCGCTGCCCAGCTATGCTGATGGAGTCGCCATCTTGCGCGCCTTTGCTAGAGCTGCCGCCATGCTTGCTGCTAGAGCTTCCGCCAGTGCCACCCATGGGGCGGGCGCAATCATCATCACGGATCTTCTTGCGGGCGTCAGTCGTCGCCACCACCCTTTTCTGCATATGTGGTCGCTCCACCCCCTCGCGCATGCTCATGCCGCCCGCTCTGTTTTAAGCTTGCCATGTTAGGGTTGAGTGTGGGGAATAATGGAGAGGATCGAGTGAGAGGCGGCGTGGGGTGGGCTGGTGGGGGCTTTGGGGAGTGGGAGTGGAGGTGGACCGAGCCACCAAAATGAGGTGGGCTCGCTACAGTGGCATGCTTGCACTGATTCGGTTGCTTGCCGGTTTTCGGTTCGATTTGGCTATGAAATCGAACACCGAGCCGAAAGCTCTCTTCGAGGACTAAAAACCGAAATCGAAAAATGAAAAAACCGGCATTTTGGTTTGGTTCAGTTCGATTTATGGGTTTTGGTGGTTTTTTGCCCAACACGTCCAAGAGCACACTGCTCTAACCAGTATAACCCTTGAGAAAGTTGGTAACCATGCGCGTTATGTATCAAATGCCAAAATAAAAGTTGTGAATTAAGTATGTCTAAGTTTTCACTATGCAATTTTGCTCTTACCCCAATTCATTGTAATGTTAATATTTGTACCCATGGTGCATAGGTAAGGTCCAGGACTCCAGGTGTGTAACATACGTTTTTGGACACGGTAGAATCAAATGAAAATACTCCATCCGTTCCATATTATAAGTCGCTTTGACTTTTTTGGTATATCCATTTTACTATATATCTAGATATAATATATGTCTAAATACATAGAAAATTCTATATACAAAAAAAATTAAAGCGACTTATAATTTGAAATATATGGGGTACAATATATTGAAGTCACTAGCGTGTGAGCATTCGGTTCAATGGGGGTGAAATTGTGACATTTTTTCAGTAAGCTATATTTATGCCCATTGGAATACTTGCAAATGAAAAGATAGAATCACAGTGGGTTGAACAATTTTCCAAGCCCAATTTTAATTTTATTCGCAAATACTACTATATGTAACCACTCGCGTGTTACTTAGAGGATCCATTCCCCTCAGTTTGTGTAGTTTTACTTGGTCTCTTTGGCTGCAACCGTTTTGCCTGTGTTTCCACAACTTGCTTACCAAGAAAAGGCAGTATGACTTGTGTGTGCACGTATAGGGTGAGGTTAAAAACTCAAAAAAAAAAAAAGGCTGCCAAGCAAGCAGCCTATAGAAGATTAGGGAAGGATGCTTTAGAGTTTAGATAAAAGGTTAATATCATGTTTATGGTTGTAACTTCATTCAGAGAGCTAGCTATTAGTATATGTTCATCATTCTCACAGTGCACACTTTATATCCAAATTTAGAAACACAAAATGATAGTTCGGAACTTATGAGAGTCTCTACAGTACAAGTTGCCTCAAAAGATAATTTCAAGTTTCACTTGATAGATACGTTGTCCGTAATTACCATCTCTGACAACAGCAAAGAAGCTAAAATGAGCATCTGAATATATACTATAACTCGTCTCAAAAAAAAAATCTACTATAACTGAGACCTGGAATTCGTAAAAGATTACAATTGGCGAGTCACGCTCAGAACCTGAATGTTGTACCCTTTTCTTTTTTAGATGTGTACCAATTGATATTCTGATTTATGGTAACTCACACTACACATGCATTTTTTTTTAAAAAAACTACACATGCAGAAGTCAAATTTGCCTTTTTCCCCCGCGAAAACCCTACAATTTTCTCCTTATGGTATTCATTCAAATCTCACCAGGGTATACAGCATCAGATTGGAATGAAAATATGAACGAGTCGTCGCGCCTGAAAGGAAACACAAGCCATTTTGTTGGCTACTTATACTACATAACCAATTGGAGTGTTTGACACACATCATCTAAATATACATGGAGGGCAGGTAACTGACGTCAAGCAGCTTCGAGAACTAGAAGTGCAGCGATTCAAGTCACAGGTCAAAACATTCAAGGACCAGACCTAACGATCTGTACAGGAATTCCTGAGCCAAGTCAATCGTCAACCCAGTCCTACTCCTGTCCAAAGCTCCGGTCAGATGATGGAACTTCCTGCACTCTGATGAATCCAAACCTGGAGGACTTCCCGCACTCTGAAAATGTACACGGCGGATTGGGCACCAGTTGCCGAGCACCCCGTACTGCAAAAAACACGCATATGAGGATCTTTTTTAAAAAAGGTAACCTCAAGGGATGAAGGAACTGAAGGTAGTTTGCAGCAACCAGCAAGCAAGAACTAGAGCAGGATCATTACAACATATAGTACGCAACTGAAAGAAAAATATGAAATGTTCCGAAACAAAACCAAGGTGATGAGTGCGCAACAGTTAGGCTCCTGTGATGGCTGGACGTTGGACACGATGAGCTGGAGTCGAGACAAAAACGCTGTTGAAAGGCAGGACGCCATCAGATACATACGATACGAGAGTAAGCAGAGCTCCCCCCTTTGCCAAGTTCAGGCAGATGGCTCCGAACAGTTTTGCAAAGCAAAATTTGAACGAACAAAAACGTTTCTGGCTTAGGCGTCTACTCTACAACTTGCTTGGAAATGCATGGAAAAAAATATATAAAAGCGAAAAGTGGCTGGTATTTCTATGAAACAAAAAGGAAAGCGGCATAAGCTTAAAAGAAACTCAAAAAGGGTAATATATGTAGATCAATGAGCGGTAGAAACTCATGTCTAAGATAGAGAAACATTGCATAAGACAAATGCAAACCACCCTCACATAACTGGAAAGAGAAATTTTCTCTAGCGTAAGCTTTTCATTTCTCTGGTTCCACTGAGAGCATAGGTGTAAGGAATGAAGCCTGGTCCGAGATCCCCGGTAGAGCAAACACGAAACCCCTAGCATTTCGCACCCGAGGATCTTGGATCAGCCTCCATTCCAGACACCCTGCTCCCCTTCGGCCCTTCCATTCTTCTCGCCCTCACCAAAACATTCTCTCTCGAAACCTAGCTAGTTCGTTCCCCTCATGATTTCATAATCAACGCACTCACAGGCGCCTTAAAAAGAGGCTCCGAAGACGTACGCTGGCCAGGCAATGCTTGCAAGCCCCATGTCCTGCACTGCAGCAGGCCACCTTTTTTCATTTAGGGGTTAAACAAGGGGGTTAGGTGAGTGGTGTAAGCCTTTTGCTGCTGCGCTAGGCCTTGTCTCGTTGCTGCGACTGGCAATAGATTAGTGATGCGTGTAAGCTTTTGTGCTGGGCCGCGGTGCGGGACAAGGGGAATGAGGCGAGTCCTGCGGGGAGCCTGAGGTAGTGGGGGTGCTGATGCACGGTCCTTTCCGGCAGTTTTCGTGGGCTTTTAGCTGCTGTTGTCGAGCGAACTGGAGCTGGACTGCTGCTGGATCGGAGGAGGGTTTCAGGGGGGCAGCCGGGCAGGTCACACTGCAGGTGCATGTGGTTGTTACGTTTGGGCGGCAGGGCTGGCTGGGGTCACGTGCTGTGGCGTGCCTAGATTTTTTTGTAGCCTTGTTCAAATCATATTTAGAAATATAAACGCATCCATTTTTTGTTTTTATTTTTAACTCTTTTGACCACGCCAAGCGTTATGGCGGTGAATATTGTTGGCAAGATAGAAATGCCACATAGCAAGGATTGGCGTGGAGGCAAGAAAAAGCTTTAGAAAAATCTATTACGATGGTAGACGAAGATGATTTTTATTTATATGAAAAATAGTAATTTTCAACGACATCTATAATTTTCTAGGTTTGAGATTTTCATTTGAAATCATTAAGATGCTTGAAAAATACAAAAATTCAGCAACATATTAAGTATGCACCGGAGCTTGTTACATTAGAAATATCATTTCTTTCTCATATATATGACGCGAATGAAGATATGCAGTATTATAGTTTTTTGTTTTGTTTTTTTTTTCATTTGAAGTTGTTATATTAAAATGATCTTGCTTGTCCTCAAATTCACGTCATGGAGGGAGAGAGATAGAGAGATTATGAATTGGACAACTCTTTTGAAAGTTTGACACCAATTAGCCAGCATTGTATGTTTCCAAGCTCAAAACAAATGGTAACACCATCATTGACACGTACCGCAGTACCTCTAGTTTCACAACTCTAGCGTTAAGATTGAATTGTACGAGATTACAACACCTCTTTCGTTTTTCCTCGAACAACGCACTATCATCAGTTCCAGCCGTGAAAGGTTGTCTGGAGAAGGGGCAAAGTATCGCTACGTGTGAATGTTGACCTCAACTTTTACTAAACCAATCAAAATCAACTGCAGGGTACTTGGGGTAACCTGCATAAAGATTTCTGAGGGAATACCTGCATAAAGATTTTAAGATATATTTTGTCAGGGAAGGTAATACAAACGTAACAATCCCCAGGTACTCAGAAATTTGTCAACAAGCCAGCATCATGTCCACGCAAAATTGTACAGATGAAGCTAGAAAGTAGAGGTTCCGAACATATCAAACATAGCGCATGGGGTTCTTTTCTTCAGCTATAACATTGTCTTGGGTAGGTAGGGGGCTTTCTTAAATCAACTCAAAGCAACCATTCCTTAGGCGGATGTGGCAGCCGAAGCCTTGGCAGCGGCGGAGAGCTTGACCTCCTCTTGGCGAGGCTCTCGCTCCGGCGCCCCTTTGCTCCTTGAGCCTCTGTGCCAGCAGCTTCTGGTACTCTGCAGCCTCAGCCTGCTTCTTTGCAATCCTCTTCTTCTTCTCTGCAATCCTGGCACGCTTCCTCTGGAGGACCTGTGGGGTCACCAGGCGCTGGATCTTGGGGGCCTTGCTCACCTTCTTGCCTGCAGCAAGTAACCACAAGGGGACATGGAAGATTTATCAAGAACATGACCATCTCAACATAACAAATACTACATTCAGGACACAATTATACAGTATACCGTAAAGATAAGAAAGGAAAATGTCCAACCATGAACAGCAGAGCAAACAAAAAAAAGGTTACAAAACTAGTAAACGAAGAAACTCTCACCACTCTTGGTTGTGAATGTCCTGCGGTATGTGTTGACATACTTGCGTACATCATCATCCTTGGAAAGGTTGAAGAGCTTCCTAATCTTGGACGCTCTCTTGGGGCCCCTCATCCTGGGCTTCTCAGTGTCAGTCAGACCTGGAAGGTCATTCTCACCCTTCTTGACGATGACCAAGTTAATGACAGACAGGTCTTGGCTCACAATGCAACCTCGGACTGACTTCCTCCTGCGTTCCCCATTGCGCCTGCCATACCCACGGAAGCATGGAGTGCCTACCCAAACCAAATGCCCAAGTAAGAAACTCCTCCCGTAAAGGGAAATTAAACTTCACAGTAAAGTATTAGTACTGAGATAAAAGCCTAAGTGTCATACCCCTGTGAAGCAGAAGGCGGACACGTCCAGGAGTCAGCACTCCTTGTTTCATTGGGAAACCTTGCTTGTCACACCCACCCATGATCTTAAAGACATAGCCCTTGAATTCCTGCAAAGCAAAGAAATGTTACATATGCATACATTTGAGCACTAAACCAAAGATCAAGAAATAAGTAGCAAAGATATTACCTCACCAAGTGCATCACCACTGACCTCCTGGGAGATCCTTTTGTCAAAAAAGACACGCCTGCAGTTGATACCAAGGCATTAGCTAGCTATATGAATAAACAGCTTATGTGACAAACTATATACACAATCAGAGAAAGAACATATAGTGTATAAGCAAAGCAGAATTAAAAAATAACTAGTCTGTTCAAATCCCAAGGTCAAGAATGAGGGTGTATTTTTTATTAAAAAAGTTTCAAAAAGGCCAGGATGGTCAACTGTCATTATAACTTTAAAAGTGTCATTTAAATTATACTTGGAACAGATAACTAAAATTGTTGAGTATCCTTGCCTCAACAAACACCCCAACAAATCTCAAATAGATAGGTCACAGGGCAATTTTCATTCCACTCATAACGACTTTCCGTACACTGACTGAATATCTCCACAACTAGTAATGAGCAGCAATACACAGGGGCCGAACACGTTCAACAGAAAGTTATTAGGAAAAACTTCAATGGCATTTCATCTTTTCATCCACCATTACTGCACGAATCACAATACATTCAGAACCAACAATCCAGAATAAACATACTAGGAAATGATAGCCGGCACCAAAATTTAACGAATTAGAATGCTGTGAGCAAACAGTTCCAACTCCTGGAAAGTTAGATATGAGCTTGAGGATGATCTATTCTATTTCCTACCGTGTTCAAGCACCAGCAACACTTAAGCACAACGCACTTCTAAAACTCCAATATAGTGGGAAACAATCACAATCTAAGCAAATAGCAAAAGTACTACGCTTAGCCAGCGGGCACAACATCACGCAAAAATTCAACAAGCTAAAAGTCTCTTCTTAGACAAATGATGAATATGCGAAATGGAATTCACATGAAGCTAAACGAGTATACAGGGAAACCTATGGTTCTACCACCGATTTGTCTGCACACCCCCACCCCCCATACACAATAGCAACGAGTGGCGGACCAAACACCATTTCGCCGTCAGCACGGATCTAAATGAAGCAAACGACCACGGCGGCTGGGCGAGTAAGAGGGAGGAGGAATGGGAGTACTCACAGCTTCTGATCGTCATCGATCTCGAGCTTCTTCTGGCACCCGGTGGTCGGGTTCGCGATGTTGAACTGCACACAAAAACAGGAGAAAAGCCATACGAATCAGAAACCAGACAGCCGCAAATCCAAGCACAGCTCGCGCATATTCCCACGCGGGAACCGATGGAAGGGCGGGCGAGGAGCAGGCGTCAGGTCACCTTCATAGTCGCGAGCGGCAAGCACCTCTAGCCCCGAGCGGCGAGCACCAGCCTGGTGGTGTGGCGGCGGCGCGAGGGGCTAGGGCTTTGGGCGAGAGGACAGCGCGAAGGGATGGGTGAGATTTTTATACGGGGCGCAGCGAGAGGGCACGGCGCTCGATCTGGGCCGTCCGTCGTTCTTCCCTCCACGGTCGGCTAGGCTTGGTTTTGGGTTGGGCTGCATCAGCCGGCCGGGCCGCAAGGATGAGTTGCCATCGGGCTGCATTCGTCCTCTCATATTCTGCCTCGTGAACTATCGAAGCCGAAGTCTGATTTTCATCCTCGAAGTTCAAAATCAAAGATCTTAACCCTAAACTCTCAAAATTATTCAAATTACTTCTAAACCTTAGTTTGGAGTGGTTTTGTCCTTTTTATTTAAAAATCGGTAAATACATGATTAGGTTTTAAAACACAAAAAATGCATCTAAGCTTTTTTTTTCCAAGAACCGAGATATACTCAGCAAATCTAAATAAAAATATTTAGACCTCGTGAAAATATTCTAGATGCTTAAAAATAGATTTAGCTCTAAACAAATAGAAAATATCCCAAAAAAATATATACTTCCTGTATTCTAAATTATGAGTTTTTTATATACATTGTTTTTGCTATGTATCTATACACACACATATATATATATATATAGAATAGCTAAAACATCTTATAATTTGGAATGGAGCGAGTAGAAAATTCCCAAAACACTCTATTTGATATGTAAACATGTTTCGTAAATTTTTTTGCAACAATAAACATAATACATAACCAGCATGAATCGTTCAACATTCATGTATATTGCATTCATACTAGTTGTATCTCATATTTTTGTCGTGCAAAGTTTTAAAACATGTTTATACAACAATTAGAATATTTTTGGGAACGTTCTACATGTTTCTGGATATTTCCCATTTTCTTAGAGCTAAACCTAATTTTTTTGAAGTTTCTAAAGTTATTTTTACAAACTTTATATATTATATTTGAACTTATACTATCCCAATCTATCTATAGAATTTTTTAGAATTTTCAAAAGTTCGTAATCATTTTTTGTGTTTTAAAAACCATATCAAGTATTTATTGACTAATTTTACAATAGAAGGATAAAACCGCCTTTGAAATCACTACAAACCATGGTAAGGAGGTAATTTAAACAAGTATGAGAGTTTAGTGGTAAGATGTCTCGTGTTGAAGTTTGAGGAGGAAAATCATACCAGGACGATGGTTTAGAGAGGTAGAATGGGCGTTTGCAAAAGAGAGGTAACATAGATGTTCAAAACGGATTCAGAACCTCTAATGTCGGCATGCTCGACATCACACTATAGTCAATAGATCAATGTCATTCCACTGCAATCCGATGGTGAACGCAACCATGAGGCTCCCACGGTTCCATCTCTCCATGCGCTGGTCTCAGCACAACAAGAAGAGTGCATCCTCTTAAGCAACACCATCTCTATTCTCTGACACGATAGCTCTTTGTTTTCTACATGATTGCTCCTTGTTTTGGCATGAGGATTGTGGTGGTCATCAGCTGGTGCGATTGCTCCCTTTCTTGGTGTGAGGGGCGATCGGCTTTGCTCAATAACCATTTACCAAGGAACATGTGAGCTACTCTACACTTCCATCTCTTCCTATATACTCATATTGCAATGGTTTTGTTTTAATTGGGTTGTCTTCACCCTCGCTCAGTAGATATTCAAAATTGATTGAAGGAAATCACGTCTAGATGAAAAGTAATTTTGCATATTTGAGATGGAAGAAAATAGATGTGTAACGTCATGATTGTTCCTTTTTCTTCATGAGATGAGTTACAATTACTTCTTTACTACTGAATCATTTTTTCCTAACAGAGAGGGTTTGTTACCAAGTTTGTTAGCTCACATTGGCATGCACTTCAGTACCATAGTAAGATATGTCTACACTAGGAACAAGGACATAATTGAGCGAGAGCCTGAATAACGACCTAAAGAGACATTTTAAACATGATATTACTATCATTCGATTTCTTTAGCATTTCAAAAGGATGGTGGAATATAAAGAGCTAAAATCTAAATTTGAATGAAGGAACAAATACACATAATCAAAATGAGGACACCTATGCTGATGCAAATTGTACACATCAATCATATTCGGAGCTTTTCAAGGTGAATATGAAAGGCCCATTGCAGCATGCAGCATGCACCATGGCATAGAAGGCAACGAAGAATATCTTGTAGCAATATCTGGTCTTGATGATAATTTTATTTTTGAGAAGGAATATAAAGTTATTGGTGACCCTTTAACACAAACTGGTAACATGAAGTTGTGGACAGTTTAGTGGAATTGGAATATTGTGTGGCCATGCTCTAAAATCCTTGATTTGATGAATACCAAATGATAAGACCATCCCAAGGACATCATCATTAACTCTAAATTATGAGCATAATTTCAAGGTGAAAGCTAAACTTAATTCCAAATCTGTTTGGTTTCCACATGCAAGACTACTACTTGGTTTGTATGATTATAAATTGAAACATCATGCTGTGATAGAAGAATAAGAAGATTGTGATGTTATCACCACACTACACATTGCAAGCCTAGCACCATTCTTTGGCTTAGGAGAATCAGAGTCGAGGATGACTCCTTTTCAAGAAGGAGAGGATGATGAGGACATCTCAACCATACATGCTTCCTCAAGTGTCAACCGTTCACAATACAACATAAAAGATATAAATGAAGGGCCACTTACAAGAAGCCGGGCCAAGAAACTACAACAACAGGTGAATTCATTCCTAACTAATTATAATTTCAACACTTCTAAGAATGTTATTGTCGGTGTTTTGGACCGGTGGGTCCTCAACCAACGAGTGAAAACGTACTGCGTGTCCCTATCCCGGATGGTGATGTAAAGAGACACAAGGTTTATACTGGTTCAGGCAATAGATGCACTACGTCCAGTCTGAGAGAGCGATCTTATATTCCTTGCACCGAAGTGCTTGTAGTAGGGGTTTACAAGCAGGGCGAGAGAGGGGGTTAGTCCTAGGTCTCTGCGTGGAGCGGCGTGGGTTGCTTGAGATGTTGATCTCTCATAGTGAGGAGCGTGTGTATTACAGAGTGTTACTCGTTGTTTACGCGTGTGTCTATCTGAGCGATGTCTCCGTGAGTGTGTGTGTGCGCTCGTCGGGTGTCTCTCCTTGTCCTAGAAACGGCCCCGGTCACCCCCTTTTATAGTTGGAGGAGAGGACAGGGGCGGTACATGCGTTTGCTACGTGGTGCGTGGTGTGAGCGGAGGCGGCGTGCCGAGCCCTATAGCTCGTTACTGTGGCGGTATGGTGGATGGAGTGGTCTTGTCCTTGGTACTTTGGAGCGACGCGCCGGTCATGCCTGGCCCTGTGCGACGTGGGAGCTCCTGTGGTGGCAGGTGCATTGGAAGCGTGCCGGTTGCTGTACGTTGGACCGGCGCAGGGTGCCGAGGCTGGGTTGATGCGATGGCGCGGGTGTGCTGACTCCGAGGATACAGGAGCTCGGCCCTGTACGCGACGTGGGAGCTCCTGCAGCCTGACGCAGGGTATGGCGCATTTCGCGGGCGACGTGCCGCTGCCAGAGTTGTGACAACGTAGAGAGCCAAGGCCCAGTTGATGTAGAGGCTGGGCCGTCATAGGGGGCTCGGCTGGCGCGAGTCCCGAGACTACGGGAGCGAGGAAGCGATTTGCCAAGGCTCGGAGGGAGCAGTTGGTTTTTTATGCTGATTCCGAGGCTCTAGGGGCCCAGACATGACTCTCCACGCCACACTGTCGTCGGAGCAGGTGGGGTTAGGTAGCACAGTGTCGCATGGGTGTCAGTCGTGGGCACAGTGCCGGGTACAGCAGCTGGTAACCCCTGCCCCGTCCTGTCTCAGACTGCATGGCGCCGATGTGACTCTCGTCCCGTTGGCCCCTCCGCTGTACCGAGGCCGGAGTGTGGCTGACGTTGCGGGAGTGGTTGGACGCATTGGTTGAGTGTGACGCTCTGTCAGGGTGGTCAGTCAAAGCTGTGGCGGGACTGATGTCGAGTCGGCCTCGAGCGAGACGAAGAATCGGTACCTCGCCCGAGGCCTTTCGGGTGGGGCCTCGGGCGATGGGTCTCGGGTGAGGCGGAGAGTTGGTAGCTCTTCCAAGGCCTTACGGTGTGGGCCTCGGGCGAACCGGAGAATCTACCGAGGCCTTACGGCGTGAGCCTCGGGCGAATCAGAGAATCGGTCGAGGCCCACGTGGTTGTCTCTTGGCTTTGGTATTTACAAGGTCTAATCAATTTTTTCGGTTCTTGCTTAGGGTACCCCTTTCTATGGTATCCGACAGTAGCCCCTGAGCCTCGGGGGTAGTGCGGGCACTCTCCCCGAGGTTTTGACGAGACTTGGCTCGTAGTGGCTTTCGTCGGGATTGTGCTTTGTGTCTGAGGCCTCGGTGGGTGCGCGCGAGCGCACCCGCCGGGTGTAGCCCCCGAGGCCCTGGAGGAGTGGATTTACTCCTCCAGGGGCTTTTTCCCTATTGAAGAGTTTTATCGCGTTTGCCGAGCCCATAAGTGCAAGTTCAGGTTGCTGGGCCTCGGCTTAGTTGCAGGTAGAGCCCCCGAGCCTCCGCACGGAGCGAGAGGGCGATTAGGAGTTTCCCTGTCTTTTTTGTGTGACCCTCGCGCATCCTTTTTTGCTCGGAAGGAGGGGTTGTTTGTCGAGCCCTCGAGTGCGAGCCTGGGTCGCTGTGTCTCGGCTTAGTTGCAGGAAGAGCCCCCGAGCCTCCGCATGGAGCGAGAGGGCGATCTGAAGTTTCACTGTCTTTTTTGTGCGACCCTCGCGCATCCTTTTCGCTTGGAAGGAGGGGTTATTTGCCGAGCCCTCGAGTGTGAGCCTAGGTCGCTGGGTCTCAGCTTAGTTGCTAGAAGAGCCCTCGAGCCTCTGCACGGAGCGAGAGGGCGATCAGGAGTTTCTCTGTCTTTTTTGTGCGACCCTCACGCATCCTTTTCG